GGGCTGGGATGTCTTCTCATTATTCAATTGCTCTTATATGTAAAGCTCTGTTTTTCTGATCGTCCTTTTATTGATCTCCAGCTTTACGGTGTGGTAATCTGAGAGGGACATCTGAGTAATTTGCATGTGTTTGAATTTACTCAGGCTCAACCTGTGTCTCAGTATGCGCTCTATTTTTAAAAATGAGCCACTATACATCAGGTCCAGTAGCCTAATTATAGTCTTTATCTCTGTAGCCTCTTTGTTTAGCTTCTTTCCCAAAGATGTATTTCTCTCTGATAGCTGTGTATTAAAGTCACCTACTATGATTGTTGAATCTGTGATCTAGTTTTTCATCTTTTGAATAATTTGTTTGACGAATTTCATGGGCCTCTTGTTGAGTGCATATATATTTATTATGCTCACTGGTTCCTGGTCTACGAATCCTTTCAGCATTACGTAGTGCCACTCCTTGTCTCTAGTTATGGTTTGCACCCTGAGGTCAATTTTGTCAGAGATTAGGATTGCAACCCCTGGTTTTAAGTTGCTGTATGCCTGGTATATTTTCCACCAGCCATTTATTCTTAATCTATTTTTGTCTGTGAGCTTAAGATGTGTCTCTGGTAGGCAAGAGATTGATGGGTTATGTTTTCTGAACTAGTATGTTAATTTTTGTCTTTTAATGGATTAATTGAGGCCATTGACATTCAGAGTTAGTATCACAATCTGTGCATTCATTGCTGTCATCCCATACCTTTTGTGTTGGATGTTTTCATTTCTCCCTTCATATCAGTGTTCTGTGTTTGTGTGTGGGGCTTCATTCTTGCCTTATTTTCTCTTGAGGCCATGTTATCTTGGTAATTGTTTTCGATGTGTTGGCTTCTAGGTGGAGTTGGGATATCTGGTGGTCTCCTGCTTGTGCTTGGTGGATGTTAGTCTTTTGACTATAGTCAGTTGGAATGGATTTTCGACAGGGTTAGGTGTCATATGGCATACTCTGAATTTTTCCTTGTCCTGGAAGACTCTTACCTTGCCGTCTATCTTAATAGATAGTTTGACAGAGTAGAGGCTTTGGGGGATGGTGTTTTTTTCTTTCTGATTTTGGAAGATGTTACTTCAGTCTCTCCCCCTCTTGTGGTATTTGCTTATAGGTCTGAGTCTATTCTTACCTGAGCACCATTGTATGTGACTGCCTTTTTTGCTTTTGCTGCTCTTAAAATTTTGTCTTTTTCCTTGAAGTTGGATAACTTAACTATTATGTGCTTTGATGAGTTTTTCCTGGAGTTTAGTCTAATTGGTGTCCTTTCTGCTGTATGTGTCTGATTACCATTCATTAAGGTGGGGAATTTTGCTTACACAAATTCCCTCACTAATTTAGCTGTTGACATCTTTATTGTGTCTTTTTCTGGTAGACCAAATATTCGGATATTGTTTCTATTCATAGCCTCTGTCATTTATCTCAGGTTTTCTTCTGTCTCTTTAATTATCTTGTTTGACTGTCTTTCCTGTTTGTTGAAGTCTGCCTGATTGTCTTCAAGATCACTGGTTCGATTATCCACCTTTTCTAATATGCTGGTGAGGTCCGTGATCCTGTGTTTTGCTTCTATTTCATCATCTATTAGTTCTTGTATTTCCCCTTGGTGCGTGGACTTCATCCCCTGTATCCTGGACTTTATTCCTTCTATCATGGATTTCATCTTCTCCATCACTGAGTTCTTATTCTGTGTTGTTTCCCTCATAACCTGTATTACTCCAAGAAACATTATGAAGATTTTTGTGTGTGTGGCAGATCCACGTTTGATTCTTCTATGAGCGTCCTTAGGTTTACAACTTTCTTCGCTATTGCGTTTTGCTTTTATTGTTGAGGGTGTTGAGGTATGTTGCTGTTTGTGTGTCACTTTGGAAGAAATGAGTGTCATGTTTCTGGGAGACCAAGAGTCCTTGAGCTCTTTCTCTGTGTGATTAGTATGAGTGTTTTTGAGGACTACCTGTGGCCTACTAACAGTGTGGGTTGTACTGCTATATAGTCAGGGTGCCACGGCAACTCAGTGGCCAGAGGCAGTGGGGGGCCTCAGAGTCTGTGCTGAGGCAGGTAACTGTAGGTTTGCCACTGCCTGGTTGGGGCGGGGCTGCAGTGTGGGCACGGGATTGGACTGGACTGGACTGTAAGGCCACAATTTAGAGCCTTTTAAAGACACTCTGTGGAGCCCAAAACTGATAGAGCCAGTTTTTGCCTTGGGCTGTGGCTATCAGCACCTGTTGGATTTTCCTGGTTTTTTTTGTTTTGTTTTGTTTTGTTTTAATGTTAAAATCCTAGGCTGTGCTCTGGAGATTATTGTCTGGCTACCTTGTTATGTTAATGTTATGGTAATTGACAGAGTTTTGCATGCTTACATTCAAAGTTACACAAAGGACCACAGCCTGGAAATGAAAGCTTTTAAATCAGGTGGATTTTTTTCCCTTTTTATAATCGGCTTGTGGGGTGCCTTGGTATTGGAAAGGGGGACCAGCTTAGTGGTGTGGGTTTGGGACTGACTGGATCGGAATTTGCCCCTGGCTGCACTCCTGTGCCAATCTGGTTCTATCCGGTTGTGCATTGGGGAACTGTGTTTTGACATAGGTAAATATCCCAACAGCTCTCCAATTGCTAAAAATTATTGTCTAATACCTATTGTTACCCACACTGGCAGGTATGGAGCTGGAGAGAGGTGGAAAGGGGATGGATTATGTAGTCACTCTGTTCCTGGCTAGGGAGGGGAGTTGCAAAGCCCTAGACTGCAGGTTCAGGGCAGATGGCAGCAGGGGAACTCCAGTGTGAGGTCTTGTGGCTAGCTGTTGGAGACTTTCTTTGAGCCTGGGATTATGACCACTTTTAGACAACAGCCTGGGAAAATCAATGCTCACTGTGGGTCTAGGGCACAGGAAAGGGTGGCAGGCACCATCCTTCTGGACCTGGCAAGGGGGTTAGCAGAGCCTGCAGGCAGATGCAGTGAGCTTAGAGCATTTCAGTGTATTCTAGAATCGCTTTGTTGGTGAGGATAGGGGGAGGTCTGACCCGGACCCTAGTATATTAAATCTATTTTTAGCACCCAGCCTTCCAGTATTGGCCTCCTTACCTCTTAATTTTCTAGTTTAAATGCAGGAGCGCCAGTTTGGTGATTCCTGCTTTATAGGAAAAATACTTTAGTATTTAGAGTTACTAATTTTTAGGGGTATTTATTTTCAAATGGCTCAGAAAAAGCAAACATGTATATATACATATATATAGAGAGAGATAAAGAAATGGTGCAAAATATTTACATTTTTGAAATCTAGATGAAGGGAATAGGAAGTTTTGTACTCTATATATCATTGCAAATTTTCTCTAAGTTTGAAATTATTTCCAATAAAAATTAAATGGAAAAGATCGGACCTCATCCTTGATCAAACAGAAACTCTGAGTATGGAATCCAGAGATATACAGGAAGAGCATTACTCACTGTGTCAGAAAATTCTAGAACAGGATTTTGGTCCTAAATTGAGGAAAATTCTTAATTTCCAGGAATACAGTTATTCTTAGTTTCCCACCCATTTCAAGGAACTATTAAAGGATACCCAGTGGTATAATGGTTACAAATTGGGCTGCAATATGCATGGTTGGCAATTTGAAACCACCAGCAACTCTGTGGGAGAAATACTGGGCTTTCTATTCCCGTAAACAGTTACAGTTTTAGAAACCCACATCAGGGTCACTATGACTCAGCATTGACTTGGTGATAGTGAGACTGGTTTTTTGGTTTATTAAAGATGAACAGAGTTATAGTACTAAACAAGCTTAGACAGAACCAGACAGAAATTTATGTTCTCTGTTCTCCACATTGAATCTAGACCTTGGGTCCTTTTCCCACTATCTATAACCCTGAGATCTGACCTTGATCCTGGTCTTCTGTTAACTCTTATACTATCATTGGCACTTAGGCCTGAAACCTGAGACCTGGCTCCCTATTCAGTTTTTTCTCAACCCAGGCTTCTATGAATGCTTTCACCATTAATGCCCCACTTATTGGGGTATCTCATATAGGTCTTGGCTAACTATTCCATCTTCAGTTCACTGACATGAAAACAAAGCCTGTAACTTAAAAAAAGCATTTTGTTGTGAATTTAGTGAAGGTTTACAGGGCAGATCAATTTTCCATTCATTCAAAAATTAATACACATTTTGTTTTATCTAATTGACTATAATCTTCACAATGTAATATCACCTTTTCTACTTCTTCCTTGTTTTTTCTTCCCCTTTTACCTGTTAAGCATTTCATTGTCAGTGCCCCCAAACCCAGAATGCTCCTTTGGAGGTTAGGATGACAAGACTTTATCTAACATTTTTTGGACACATTATCAGGAGAGACCAGTCTCTGGAGAAGGAGGAGGAGCAACAACCGAATGGACGTCCCTTGACAAGATGAATTGACACAGTGGCTGCGACAATGGGCTCAAACCTAAGAACAATTGTGAGGATGGCACGGGACCGGATGATGCTTCTTCTCTTATACACGGGGATGCTATGAATCAGAACTGAATGGGAGACACCAACCAACCACCACCACCATCACCACCACATGTTTTAGAACTTAAACCTAGACTTCTGTTAACATTTATACCATCAACAATCACATGACCTTGATCCAGGGTCCAGGGTCTCTGTTGTGATTTCTACCATCAATTTTGCTCATTAGGATACTTAACCCAGGTCTTTTAAACAATTCTGACACCACAGTCTAGGGCACTCATCGATTCCTGTTTGATATGAATTCAACCTTATCTTTCATATTAATGTCTCTGAACCTTAATGAAATCTTCAAAAGCCCTGTGTTCTGACCTGAAAATTGGTCATTATGGCAGACAGAAAATTGGGCAATATGGCAGACAGCATCCATGTCCTATTCTCTGAAATCTATGAATATATTAAGCATACATGGTATAAGGGTCTTTGTAGATGTGACTAAATGTCTTGATTTTGAAAAAAAATCTATTTTCTGTGCGTCCCAATAAAATCAATAAGTTTATTATCAGAGAGAGGCAGGAGGGTCAGTCAGAGTAAAGATGTAATGATTGAAGTAGAGTCAAATTCAGAGAGACACTTGAAGATGCTATACTGCTGGGTTGGACTATGGAAGGAGAGATCATGATCAAAGGAATGAAGGCAGCCTCTGGAAAGTAGAAAAGACAAAGGAACTCTAAGAGTTATTGGAGAGACACCATTCAGCCCAGAAAAACCCATTTTAGATTTTTCACACACCCCCACCCCAACTCTAAGATAATACCTTGGTGTCATTTTAAACCAGCATATTGTGTAATAGGGGCCTAATGCAGGCATCTTTGAAATAGTCCACCATAGATGCTCATCTGGCTGATATTCAAACCATATCCTTGTTAACTCTTCCACCATTAATGTCCCTCTGATCTGACCTTGTACTCAGGAATCTGTTTCAGTTAATGGATTCTGATTTAAATCTAGAATACAGTGTTTTGAAGGTAGAAGATTAACAATTCCTTTGGATCTTTGTATTAAATTTGAGATTCTGTTCAGTTTCCCCCTTCTTAGCATAATTAGTGTGTGAATCTTTCCTTACCTCTGTGAATTCTTTCTCCATCATTGTCCCTCTGGTCTGTACAACAATGACTCAGTTAAATTTCCCTCTATGTCCCCGCCTCCACTATCATGATCCAAATTCTACCTTGCAAGTCTGGCTAGACCAGAGGCTGTACACTGATACAGATAGGAACTGGAAACACAGGGAATCCAGGGTGGATGATCCCTACAGGATCAGTGGTGTGAGTGGTGATACTGGGAGGGTAGAGGGAGAGTGGGTTGGAAAGAGGGAACCTATTTTTTAAGCTTTTTTATTTTTATTTTTTCTATTTTATCTAATCATTTTATTGGGGCTTATACAATTCATCACAATACATAGATCAATTGTGTAAAGCACACCTATACATTTGTTGCCCTCATCATTCCCAAAATTCACTTTCCTCTTGGGTTGCCGGAATCAGCTCATTTTCCTTTTTTCCCCTCCCGCTCCCTTTCCCTTCCCCCTCCCCATGAACCCTTAATAATTTATAAATTATTATTATATCTTATTTTACACTACCCGGCATCTCCCTTCACCCACCCCTCTGCTGCCCATCCCCCAGAGAGGAGGTTATATGTAGATCCCTGTGCTCAATTCCCCCTTTCTACGCCCCCCTTCCCTCCTGGTATCGCCACTGTCACCCCTGGTCCTGAGGGGTTCATCTGTCCTAGATGAGGGAACCTATTATAAGGAACTATATGTGCCCCCCTCCCTGGGGGATGGACAACAGAAAAGTGGGTGAAGGGAGACGTCAGACAGGGCAAGATATGACAAAATAATAATTTATAAATTATCAAGGGTTCATGAGGGAGGCGGTAGTGGGGAGGGAGGGGAAAAATGAGGACCTAATGCCGGGGGCTTAAGTGGAGAGGAAATGTTTTGAGAATGATGAGGGCAATGAATGTACAAATGTGCTTTACACAATTGATGTATGTATGGATTGTGATGAGTTGTATGCACCCCTAATAAAACAATTTTTTTAAAGGGTTGATAGGGGATACAGGGGCTGGGCGGGGGAAAGGAGGGGAAGGGAATTTCAGGAGTAAACAATGAAGGCCGGAGTGGCGAGGGAGCACTAGAACTGAGTATGATTCCACAGCTCATTTTAAAGGCAATTTAACTATGGGTGGCTGGGGGGGATGTTTTAAAATTGATATGGTAATGATTGTACAGTTTTCCTTGATATGATTGAATGATCCAACTGTTGAATTGTATGATATGCAAATTATGTGTAAACAAAACTATTATACATTTTTTAAACTGTAAATAATAATAATAAAATTAGGAAAGGTGTGCTACAGGGAAAAAAAAGAACATCTGGGAACACTTCCAACTTTAGTGTTCCTTCTACATGAATCTACTCTAACCTTCACTTAACACTTGTGTCATGAGTGTTCATTTGGGCTGATCCTAAATTCAGGCCTTTGTTAATTCTTCTATCATCACTGCTTCTTTGGTATAGGTAGTGAGCCTTTATTTGCTATATCATCATTAATGATTGTCTGGTGGCATAGTGGGTTATGTGTTGAGCTTCTAACCGTAAGTTCAGTGGTTTGAACCCACCATTCACTCCCCAGGAGAAATATGTCTATTCCCTAAAGATTTAAAGTCTCAGAAACTCAAAGGGTCATTTTATACTGTGTTGTAGAGTCACTATGAGTTGGAATTGATTTGATGACAGTGGGTTGGGAGCCCTGGTGGCATAGTAGTTAGGAGTTGGGCTGCTACCTGCAAGGTCAGCAACTGGAAACCACTAGCTGCTCTGTGGGAAAAAGAGGAGGCTGTCTACTCTCCTAAAGAGTTACAGTGTCAGAAACTCACATGGGCAAATGTGGTAATTACATAATCTGTTGTCAATTTGAGACTTAAAAGTGGAGGGGTGGAGGCTAGCCTGTCAATCAGGTTGCAGCTTGATGACCTAATCTGGAGACGCTAAGAATATAAATAGCTTGCTGGAGGTGGGACACATGTCCACTCCTTGCAAGACATTCCTGCTGACAAGACACATAGAGCTGTGCTAGAGCTCTGGAGCCAGAGGAGCCATGTGGAGACCTCTGCCAGCACTGAGATGTTTACACTGCCACTGGATCCACAAGGCCTTCCACCCACTGGCCTGTGATCTTCCTGCATATGGCATCATTGCATGTTTTTCGTGAGTCTGAAGAGGAATTTATAGGTTGGTATTGGACATATGGGCTAATATAGAACTTATAGTCTTGATCTGGATTAGGTTGGGATGTTTTCTCAATATTCAACTGCTCTTGTATATAAAGCTCTTTCTTATGCATATATTTAAGTGCCTCTGGATTTGTTTCTCTAGTCTACCTAGACTAACACAGCAATTCTACCCTCTCTTATAGGATAGCTATGAGTTAGAATTGCCTCCATAGCACTGAGGGTTTGTGTGTGTTTAGGTATATATTTCAAAATTGGTTCTAATTTAATATTTCCACCTTCAAAACCTCTGTGGAATGACTTAGAAACTGGACTACTATTCTGTTACCAGTGCACCTGTGATTTAACCTTGAAGCAGGGTGTTTGTTAAATCTTACCTAGGTATACACCCTGGTGGGGAGCAAGACTGGACTTTCTACTCCCATAAAGATTTATAGTCTCAGCTGCTATGTGTCGAAATCATGAGTTTGATATATATCATGTGTATATATATTATGATACACATATTATGATAGATATCATAGTAGAGACCTTGACTCCCAGGGCTTTCTTAACTATTGCACTTTCAAAACTACTCTCTTTGTAGCTATAGGTCCCATTGGGGCTGACCTCCAGCCCAGCCTTTTGTTAAGTCTTCTAAAGTCAATGCCCCCTTTGTTTTACCTTGAACCTCTAACTCTATGAGGGGTGTTTAAAACGTTCGTGGAAAGATGGAATTAAAACTTAATGGAATTTTCCCCAAACTTTTTTGAAGCCTTCTCACATTAAGTCTGAGTTACATAGGATCATTGTGAGTTTACATAGGATCATTGTGAGTAGGGGCAAGTATTTACGTGTGTTTATATGTTTGTGTGCACCCACTACAAAGATCACATGTGCCCTCGGTAAGTAAAGTGAGCCTCAGCCCAGGCTTAGTAACAGGTCTGCATTGGCCCTTCTGTCTTAGAAGGAACCGACAGAAAGCTGCATAGGCTGTGAAGCCAGGGCTGTGAGAGTCAGTTGAGGATGGGTCTTGCCTCTTGGAAGGGAGGGTGATGAGTGACAGATTAGGTAAAGTGTATGTGTATACCTCCAAGGATTCTTTACTTTTCCCAGATGTTTTAGAACTGATTTTTCCAAAGAGAAATCTTCTAGGTGAGGATGATACTCTCTGACCTCACTACTTTATCTCCCACCTCTATGGATAAGCATCCCCCTCCCCATCCCCCTGTGCCATTACCCAGCCTTGCTCACTCCCATTCACCCCTACTAAATGTCAAAGTGTTCCCTGTCTCACCCTGGGTTTTAAGAACCAGTTATGAATAACCATGCCTCTGAAATATTAAGGGCACTTCTGGGACCCCAAAAATACATGTCTCCTCTGTCGAATAAAACACCCAGGCGGAAGCTTTGTGAAACCATGGCTGATGTCAGAGCAGGTGGCAGAGTTTTTGAACCATAGGAAATGAGACCATTTTTATAATTGAAGGGGCTTGGCTCTCCCATTGCTTCTGAGGGTGTGAAAGATAACCTAATACACCATTGGTCCCACCACGGAGGATTGGAAGAAGAAGGAAATTTCAGGGGATGGTGATTCTATTTGTCCAAGTAGGGAGACAAATCCTACCTAAGAAGGCACTTTTAGGTCCTGAGAGCAGAGCCAGGGTGAAGGATGTGGCGGAGCAATGTGAAGGACAATGATAGAGAAGTCTATTAGTTCAGGAATAATGGAGTGTGGGTTTGAGAGCTTGTGGGTGTCTCTGTGAATAACGGAGGGTCTGTGAAGTGATTGATGAAGGGTCTCTGGTGAACAGTAGGGTCTATGGGGTGAATGGGAGTGTCTGAGATGAGTAATGAGGTCTGTGGGTGACTGATGAAAAATTTTAATGCTATTTTTTAGCAAAAGTAAAACAAATATTAAATTAATTTCTTAAAATTCTTTTTAGTGAAACAAATATTAAACTAATTTCCTAAAATTATAGATGGTTCTTAGTTATCAGAAAGAATAGCATCTGGAGTCTTAAACGCTTATCTTCAAATAAGCAGCCATCTAAGTGAGGCATCACTAAGTCCACATGGAGGAAGCACATCAATCTGTGTGATCCAAGGATTGCAAATAATACAATCCAAATCCGAAGGAGGGGATGACATCAGAGATTAAATTCTGAACACCTGGTTTGCAGAAGGTTATGAATGACAGTGGAAGTCCAAAATCCACTTGCAGGGTCCCCACAGGGATAACACCTCTGGTGAATCCCCTCTGGCCATAGCTTGCTATAATACAGAGACTTTTAAAAAACTGTTTTATTGGGAGCTCTTACAGATATCATAGCATTCCATAGTTCAATCACATTAAGTAGTGTTGTACAATTGCTACCATAATCAGTTTCAAAATATTTTCTTTCTTCTTGAACTCCTTGATA